ACGGCCCCTCAGCAGTCAGAAGCCCTAGGCCTGTGTTTGCAGAGGAGCCACTTCCTGCTCATTTCCAAAGAGGGCAGAAGTGCCAGGCACTGGGCCGGCCCACCCTGCATGTCCACAGGTTTTTCTCTCTGTGAGGCTCATCTATGTTTTTATTCTCATGTTTGGTAGCACAAGGACATCTCTACAGAAAGTGACCCTGACGGACACAAAAGATAATGGTGGCCATAAACAGTGCGATACCAGAAGCCTTGACTCCCGGCTTTGCTGGGTGTTCTGACAAAAGCAAGTCCCAAAATAAAGGTCACTTGGGGAAAAGGGATCTTTCGTGGGTTTCAAAACAAGCCCCAGGAGGACCAAAGCAGCAAACCCCAGTTTGTGGGGCACTGTGGGATGACAGATGGGTGTCTTCCAAAAGAACACCATGAGGGAGGGACAAGGGACCAAAGGGACGTCGAGTAATCCACAAGGAAAAGCTGAGGCACAGAAGGTCGCGGCTCCAGAGCCCCTCCACCCATGTGACACTATTTCTACAGTGGCAGAAATAACATCAGTGGTTGGGGCGGGGGGAGGGGAGATGAGACAGACCGCAAAGGGACACAGTGTAGGGGGACAGGGATGATGGAATGTTGTACGTCTTCCCTGGGATACTGACTATGAAACTGAACACATCCGTTGTGACTCAACTGTACCGTTGAAGAGGGGGGATTTTAGGGCTGGGGATGTGACTGGAAGAGCGCTGGCATGTGTGAATGTGTGAGGTTCCACCCTGACCACCCCCCAAAAAAAGGTGGGGGACTCTACTGTATGCAACTTATACCTTACCATATGGGAGAATACCCCAAAATATAACCCCAAAAGAGAGAGGTTTATTCATCAATTGTAGTACATGGGTCTTATTTAGAGCCTGTATTTTTCTTAAGACCCTGATTTAAAAGCAAACAAACAAAAGCCGTTAACAATCTCAAACAAAACACTGACCAGACAGACAGGGAGCCAGGAAGGAATGTTGAGAAGAGCTGCTGACCCCTGACCCCCAGGACTGTGACAGCGTGTGTGGGATGTTTCCAGAGTCCTTTACCTTCAGAAGACACATATTTTCAGATAAAATAGTATTTCTGGGGACTGCTCTGAAATAACCCAGGAGCGGCACGGTGGGGTAGGGGTGAGACACAGGACAGTCCAGAGCTGGTTTTTGTTAAACTGGGCGATGGGGCTAAGGGTTCCTGCTCTATCTGTGTTATACTTTGGTGTTTGTCTGAAATGTTCCAAAATAAAAAGCTTTGTTTTTCTTTGGATCACCCTCTCGTGCCAGGGGTGGGAGGGGGCAGCTAGGGAGCCTTTCAGGGCCAGGGCCACAGCCATAGGCACAGCAGCCTGAGTCATCTGGTGGGGGGGTGACCAGAGAGGGCAAGCCCCATTCAGATGGGGAATTCTGTCTTTCTTTGGTGCTAGGGATCGAACTCAGGTCTCTGGGCACACTAGGCAAGTGTCCTGCCACTGAGCTACATCCCAGCCCATCCATCCAGATGCGGAGCAGGGATCACCTGGGGCCAGGTGTGGCCAGGTCCACTTGCTAGGTAAGCAGGTAGACATAAGCGGTGGCCACAAAAGGAAAATGGGGGGAAAAAATCACTGTAATTCACCTTCCCAAATCCACTAATCTCTATTTAAGATCAGATAGCCAGGGGCTATCACAGTTGGTTTGAAGTTCCCCATAAAGCTTAATTCACTCTCTACCCAAGAGAAACCCACACCCTAGCCATCAAAACCTAAGAGTTAGATAAAGCAAAGGTTAAGAATTTCAAACAAATTCTCCATCAGTTAGAGCAGGTAATTGTCTAGTTCCTGCTTAAGAATTGTCTAGTTCTTTCTTAACAAAACAATAACCCAAATCCAAGAAGTCACCCTAGGAGCCAGAATGACCCTCCCTGTTCTAACAGCCATCCCAGCCACCGGGACGCATGACCTTTGCCCGCTTGTATTCCCCCAGCTGTCAGGCGTAAGACTAGCAGACCATCATCTTGAGTCTTTGCTCCCATTTCCTGTGTGAGGAACAGGAAATGGCGCTCTCTCTCTCTCTCTCTCTCTCTCTCTCTCTCTCTCTCTCTCTCTCTCTCTCTCACACCTCCCCACCCCAACCTGACCCCTTTCTTTGTTCTCGCTGTAGAGACAACCAGCTTTCAGTCTGTTGAAAGCCTATTCCTTTCCCAATAAGCTTTACTGTTACTTTCACTGAATCTTTAAGAACTCAAGTCTTGTTTGAGTTCTTCTCCTGCCTGACACAAGAACTGGGATAAAATTTCAACGAACATGCTGAAGGCATGGGAGTGGGGTGGGGGGGTCTCAAATGGTAGAGCTCTTACCTGGCAAGCACAAGGTCCTGAGTTCAATCCCCAGTAATGAGAAAAAGAAGTTGTATGTCTGCGGTTTAAGTGGCACTGTCAGGTTTTTAATGCCCTAATAGTGAAAACGTTCCTGTGGTGCTTGGGGTACGGCCCGAGGCCCTGGTTTAAAACCCAGTACCACCAAAAACCAAACCAAACCAAACCAAAACTGCAAACCAAACCCAGCCACTGAGCCTCGGTTTGTCCCAGAGGCAGACATCTCTGCAAATCAACCCCCCACCCACCAAGGAGGGCGCTCAGGGAGCACAGAAGAGGCCAGGCCGAGTGGGCACAAACTTGTCACCAAAGATGGCCTGATGCTTCCGAATGCTCTTCGTTTACAGTCTTTATTACTACTGCAAACAGCTCAAAAGGACCGCCCTGGGGACACAAAACTACAGCTGTGAAATAAAGGTCACAGTAATGATAGGATGACAGCCCTCCCCAAAGTACTGCAGAGAATTCAATCCAGTGCAACAAGTCTCGGCAGGTGTTTGGTTTTGCTTTCATTTTAAAAGAACAAAGCCACCAGGTACCAAGATGACAGTCATGAAATCACAGGAAACGCGCAGTGTGATACAATGGCTCACACAGAAAGCCACGTCAGTATCGAATGGATTGCACAGCTAAACAGAAAATTAATCCAGAAGAAAACAAAAGAACATCTTCGGGCTGGGCACAGTGGCACACACCTGTAATCCCAGCTACTCAGGAGGCTGAGAGTGGGAGGATCACAGTTTGAGGCTAGCCCAGGGAAAAAAGTTAGTAAGACTCCATCTCAGCAAACAAGCCAGGCATGGTGTTTCATGCCTGAAATCCTAGCAATTTGGAAGAAGGTACTGGTCCAAGGCCAGCCCTGGGCAAAACAGGTGAGATCCTATCTAAAAAAACAAAAACCAAAAAACTGAAAAGGGTGGGGGTTAGGATGTGGCTCAAGTGGTAGAGCACCTGCCTAATAAGCATGAGGCCCTGAGACCAAACCCCAGTGCCACCGAAAAAAAAGAGCCAATTTCACACTGAGGGGCACCCGAGAGAAATACATGCAGGTGGGAAGCTGTGGGTGACAGCCCCAGGCCATCCCCAGAAGAACAGTGTGACTTGTGGTTTACCTACAGATGAAGAATACACAAATCACAGCCCACACTAAACTCAGCGGCTCTGGGAGGCCAGCAGTGACCTCAGAGGGTGTCATGTGCTGGTGGGGATGGGGGATGCTAGGGTTTCTGTGGGGTGCTGTTGTTATGACCGGCATGCCTTGGGCACATAGCCTGTCCTTTGGTGAGAAGTCCACACAAACAGACTATGGAGGCCTGGCTGGTACCAATTTCTCCTGGGCCTGCCCTGGTCTCCTGCTGGAGACGGAGTAGAGGCCACCTGATTCAGCTGTCTGTCTTCACATTTTCTTTACTTTTTTTTTTTTTTTTGAGACAGAATCTCACTACTGTAAGTCAGGCCAGCAGAAACTCATGATCCTTCGGGATTGCAGGCCTTTGTTTACAGAGCCCAGCTTAACTTTATTTATTTTTTAAATTTGATTTCACAGGCTTCCTTCCAACAACCTTGATCTCTTTTCCCCACTGCTCTCTGAAGGACATTCAGGAAGTCCCCAGTCATGGCAGGGACGTGTATAGTGCAGGACAGCACACCCAGGTAAGGACAGAATTTACGGTTATGAGCAGGAATAGTCTCAGCATTCTGGCAAAGAGAAGCAACTATAACCAACAAAACACAAGTGTGTCAGAACCTGAGGGTTCCCTGGGTCAAGAAGTGCAACATCAAGTCCATCCTGCAAGGCCAGAGCAGCAGTGCTGAGAACCATGCACAGGCGGCTCCCCACACGCCCATGTCCTCCTCTGGGCTGGGCAGCGCCACCACTTTACAGATGACCCAACAAGGGCCAGCTTGGAAGCTGGGACCTGACACCTGGCCCCTCCTCCCATGCACCTCACCTGTCGCCACAAACACTTGGAATGCACTTGGTACCAGGTCTCTGCCACCACACCCTGGGAGAAGCTGCATTCCAGCTCATTTGCCTTTCTCTCAGCTTTGGGGTGCGGCTCCGCCTTAAAGACCTGCCTAACACCTGGCTATAGGACACAGTTCCCAGCCTGGCACTACTACTCCCACTTGCTGAGCCCTGGGCCCATCACAGCCTCTGGGAAGAACAGAAAGAAAACCAACCAGGAACGACTGTGTCACAAAAGGCACCTCTACCAGCCACTCATAAAACACAAGGATTCTGGGCTTGGAAGAAAACCAAAACTGGGTTCCTACCCCAGCCCTGCCACTTGCTGGCACCAGGATGACTTCAGGGGGTTCCCTTAATACCATCAACCACAGCGTGTTCTGCTTGGAGTGGGTCCTGTGACATTCCAATATGACAAAGATATAAAAGGACACCCCAGACTCTAATGTGCTGCGACTCATCAGGATTATAAGGCAGATTTAACTCAGTTTATCAGAGGGGCCAAACCCAAAGCTCGACCTAAAATGCTCAAGACACCTGGCTTCTGCCAGTCTGGGGCCCAAGTGCAGGGTGCTGCTTGGAAGGGTGAGAGGTGCCAAGAATACCTAGAAAGAGAAGTGACAACGGGGACTCTGAGCAGCATCACTTACATTGGCTGCAGTTTTGTGAACTCAGGTACCTCTTCTTTTTTCTTTCTGAAGAGGAACCAGTAGGTGAGCAGACCCACGATGAGGGAAAACAGAATCATGTCCGTGATGCTGAACAGGGACACTTCTTCCGCTACCGCCTCAGGCACAGTGGCACTGGTGTCTGCGTGGGAGTCCCCCATATCGACGACAGAACTGTCAGGAGAGAGACAGCAGGCGTGAGTGAGGATGCGCCTGAGGGTGGGGGCTGCCCGTGGAATGCTTGGGGGTCTTCATGCCCAGGAGGTGCTCACTGCCCAGAAGCTGCGACCTTGCACAGGGACCTTGGACAGACTCACACAGCCGATGACCCCACAGGCTACACTCCAGCAAGGGTGCGTCCTGGCTACAAGCTGGGTCCTCTGCACACAGTCCGGGCACCAGCCAGGGGCTCCCAGTGCCATAAGCATCCAATCCCACAAAGAACGGCCCAGGGAGAGGCAGACACTTCCTGCACGCGCCTGTCCCCCTGGGTTGTCCCAAGTCCTGGAGTGCTCAAAGTCCAGGAGTTCCCAAACGGCTCCTGGGAAACAACCTCTGAGCCCGGGCACCCTGCTTGAGAAGACTGTCCGTATCTACCCGAGAGCTTGGCCTTGCACGCACACAGGGATGCTGACAGTGATTTATGGTGAACTTCTGCAGCAGACTGACAGCCAGGGCAGCTGGAGCCAGAGTCGGAGCTTCCAGGTGTAGATGCTCCCACCTGCCTTCTCCTGGACCCTGCTTTTTGTTTTTGTTTTTTTTTTTGATGGTACTGGGGTTTGAACTCAGGGACTCATGCTTTCTAGGCAGGTGTTCTACCACTTAAGCCATGCCCCCAGCCCTTTTTGCTTTAGTTGTTTTTCAGATAGGGTCTCATGCGATCTTGGACTGTGATCCTCCTTCCTCTGCCTCCCAAGTACTGGGATTACAGGTATGAACCACCACACTCAGTCCTCCATGTCCTTGGTTCTGGGCCCTTTAGTCTGCATCCTCTTGCTGTTTTAACCCATGCCTGTGTTAGAAGTCCCTGAACCCTAAGCAGGCCACTTGGGTCCCTTTCAGCCAGGCCTGTGTTAGAAGTCCCTGAACCCTAAGCAGGCCACTTGGGTCCCTTTCAGCCAGGCTGAGCTCACCTCTGAAGTTGCATCATTCTGCCTTGCAATGGGGCTCTGACCAAATAGGTGGCTTTTACCACAACTCAATCAGAATGCCTGAGTCAGCTCAGCAACTCCGGCCAAAGGGGCTAGCTCTGTGTCTGACTTCCATTTGCTGTCACTGCCTTCTGGAAACTATAGGGTCTCCAGAGTTCCGGGCGTCAGTCCTGCCATTCTACACCCCACTCAGAAGCAGCTGGTTCTTTGCTTTCTCATTAACCAGAGCTTCTTTTCCAACAGCTGACTTGAATCTCAACTCACCCCCTTTTGCGGGGAGGTACTGGAGTTTGAACTTAGGACCTCAAGCTTGGCAGACAAGGCTCTATCACTCAAGCACACCCCCAGCCCTTTACTGCTTTAGTTTTTTGGTTTTTTTGGATAGGGCCTCATGTTTTTGCCTGGGCTGGCCTCTGTCTGTGATCCTTCTACCTCCACCTCCTGCATAGCTGGAATTACAGATGTGCACTATGATTCCTGACTTGTTGGTTGAGACAGGTGTCTTGCTAAGTTTTGCCCAGGCTACCTTCAAATCTTGAGCTCTACCTGGCTAGTATTACAGGTGTGCTCCACCACATCTAGCCCTCCACCTTTTGGGGGCTGCCAGTGATGGAACCCAGGGCCTTACGAGTGCTACCACTGAGCTACAGCTCCCTGACATTCAAGGACACATTTGACTCTGGTGTCCCCAAACAGCACTGCTTCTATTTAAGTGCTGCTCATTCAGTGCTAGTCATGTCTGTCTCTCCCAACCCACAGCCTATGGCAAGCCCACGCACCTTCTGCCAACTTTCTACAAACCAGACTGGGGCGTTAGAACCAGCTTTGGTGGATTCTGGAAGGACCTGTCCTGCAGAATCGTGATGTAACAGATTAGAGCCAGCCAGTTGTCTACTGAGGACCGATGTGCTAGATGTGCTGGCACAGAGAAGCCCCCAGTCTCTGGCACCAAAAGGCTCCCTGCCCCACCGCCCTCCTACCTCTGCCTCACTAGGTAGCCCAGGCCCCTTACTTTCCAGAAGGAAAGACAAATGCCCATGAAGTCTCCACCTGTGGCTGACAGTGCACCTCAGAAAAGAGAGCATGTGGGTGGATTTCAAGTTGATGGGGTGCTGAGGAGCAGGCACAGTAGTGCATCTGTACCCACATAATCACATCTTTGCCACCTACTGTAAGAGACTTCTGATGGACAGGTCACTCCCCACACAGCAGCCGAAGGGGGCCTTGAAGAGGAAGTCAGGTTGCACCACCTCCCCGATCAAAATTCCCAAATGGCTTTACATTCTGCTCACTACAAAATCTGAAGTCCACTCCAGGATATCAGGGTGCCCATCCTTTTTGTTTGTTTGTTTGCAGTAAATGCTCTGCCACTTAAGCCACACCCCTAGCCCACCCCCATACTTCTTACCACTCCCCACCCCCTTCCTCAAAGGCCTCCTCCTACCTCAGGACCTTTGCCCAAGATCACTGTCTGCAAGTTTTTCTCCCTGACTTCACTCAGGTCTCTGCTCCGATGACCATCTCGGGGAGACTTTGACCGACTTCAGTACCTAAATAGCTCCCATCACTCCTCCCCTTCCCCTCATGGCTCTTAGCACTTCAGGCTGGCCATGTCCCTGACTGGAGGTTCAATGCCACTAGCATGGGGACTCTGCCTCGTTCACAGACTGGCATCCTAATGACAATGTATTGAACAAATAAACCTTCAACAAAATGCAGGAACCTCTTGGATCCTAGGAACCGGCAATGGTTTTACAATCTGAACAGAAGACTCCAGCCCATCAGCATGTCTTGTGCCTCCTCCCTTTGCTGTTTCTTTTTGTGGTGGTTATTGGGATTTGAACTCAGGGCCTCACGCTTGCTAGGCAGGTGCTCTATTGCTTGAGCCACTCCACCAAACTTTTTTTTTTGTGTGCGTGTTGAGTATTTTCAAGAGAGGGTCTCAAAAAGTATTTGCCTGGGCTGGCATTGAACCTTGACCCTCCTGATCTCTGCCTCCTGAGTAGCTGGGATTACAGGCATGAGCCACCGACACCTGGCTGGCTTATTTTTTCAAACAGGGTCTTGCATTTTTGCCTGGACTGCCCTGGACCACGATCCTCCTACTGATACCCCAAGTAGTTGGGGTCACAGTCACACACACCACCATGCCAGCTATTGGTTGAGATGGGTCATGCTAACTTTTTGCCTGGCTGGCCTTAAACTGCAATCCTCTAGGTCTCTGTCCCCTGAGTAGTTGGGATTACAGGCATGAACCACTGCACCCAGCCTCCTTTGCTGTCTCTGACACCTTTTCCTTGAGCTCAGTCAAGATTGCAGATTCATGTCCCACTGAGGAAAACGGACAGGTGCTGCCTGCCTCGAATGAGACCAACTTCCTCATTGGCACATCAGACACAAACAGATAATGTTCCCAGCAGCCTGGACTCTGAAGCATCATCCTCAGACACACAGGAGCCACACAGGGGAGGTAGAAAGCCCATGTGATCACTTTATCCAAGGCCTCAATCTATAGAGGGCCTAAGTGACAAAACTAAAAGGAGCCCCAGCTTTCCGAGAGAGCTGTGTTCACCCTGTGTACCCAGGAAGATCTAGCTGTATACCGTGTCTCTCGGTCTTGTGGCATGAGCCCCATAGGGAAGAACAGCATCTTTAGCACCTTGGGGTAAAGAAGCACTAGTAGGCTGGCAAGAAGGCAATCGAGCAAGGAGGGGACTGGGTGCAGTGACTCACACCTGTAATTCAGGCTACTCAGGAGGTGAAGATTCAGAAGATCATGGCTCAAGGCCAGCCTGGGGAAAAGCTTAGTGAGATCCCATCTCAGCCAACAAACTGTAATGGTACATGTCTGTAATCCCAGTCAAAAAAATAATGAAAGCAAGAAGGGCTGTGGGCATGGCTCAAGCTATACAGCGCCTGCCTTGCAAATGCGAGGTCCTGGGTTCAAACCCCAGTACCGCCAAAAAAAAAAAAAAGCATGGTCCCACAGGACACCCAGCATACCTGGGAGCTGAAGCCATGAACAGCCCACAGTAAGCCACTTAAGCAGCACTTCCCATGGAAGTGCACAAATACCCACATCTGCCCAGCCCCTCTCCAAATGAGCAAAATAAATTAATATACTAAGACACATGGAAGGTAAAATTTGCACGAGTGGCTAACATGAGGGTGAAGATGTAAGAACAATGCTGGGCTTGAACGGCGTTTCCCTGGCAACCCCCAGGACAGGGATTCCCAAACTTCTTCAGTTGGTGAAGCCCCTAATATCCCAGCAAATTATTCATGGTATTCCCTAAACCCAAAGAAGTAGTTAACAAAGCTGGGTGTGGTGGTGCACACCTGTAATCCCAGCTACTCGGGAGGTGGTGGTAGGAGGAATGCAGTTCAAGGTTGGCCCAAGCAAAAGCGCGAGACCCTATCTGAAAAACAAACTAGAAGTAGAAGGGTTGGGAATGTGGCTCCAGTGGTGGAGTGCCTGCGAGGCCCTGAGTTCAATCCCCAGTACTGCCCCAGCACCACCAAGAAGTACTTAAGAAGGAAGTGGTTAGGTCCAAACACTGCAAACCCAGCTTTGCACTGATGTTTCAGCATGAACCAATGCTAAAACCGTGGATCCACACTGCTGCTTCGCAGGGAAGGCCATGGTGTGGACTCTGCTGCATGTGGAAACTAGGCACCTCTATGCCACAGTGCCCTGCGGTACCCGGCCTCACACAGTGTGGGAACCACCTCTACAATGTGAAACTCTTTGATGGGGAAATTCTGGTCATTCTGGCCTCTGACTGTCCTTATGTCAGGGGGTGGTGGTAAGGGTGACCACAAGATGGTTGCACTAGAGGCCTGGGTGACTCTGTTCTGGGAGGATGTTTAGTCTGTGACTTTCTTCTTCTCCCCCATGACAAAGGAACATAGGGCAAGGCAGGGCTACAGGCCTAACATGTATGCCAGAAATAGCAGGAAGAAAAAGCAAAGAGGAGAGGAGGAGAGAGGAGAAGAGGACAGGAAAAAACAGGAAGAGTAACT